CACTAAATAACGATTCAGTAAAATCTTTTGCATTATATATCATTAGGCCATCTAATCTTAAAGTGTTATAACATTAAGTCACTGAACTCTATTGTAAAGGAAGATGTGGTAAATCATTATTATTAACAAATTAATCATATTTTTTTCCTCCAGTAAGTAAGTGTATATATTTGCTTCTGTGCTGAGAATTAAAAGGAGGCTTGACTTGGAGGCTGAGTTTGAAATGGATTCTGGTGGAGCATATGGAGAAGGAGGGGTTGCATTATACATTGGGATGCTCAGTTTGAAATTCAAAAATCCCATGCAACTCTCAGAAGCTTTGGATGCATTCAGAGGTTATCTCTGAACTGTCATTTTTAATATCGTAGCAAAAGAAAATTATTAAATGCATGGGGCACAATTGTCCTACAGGAGTTTGATTAATTCATTTTAATGTTCATTAAACTTTCAATTAAATTAGTGAAACTGAATTTAGTTTCTGTCTTTTTGTCCTGGCTTTGTCTGCTTTTTGGAGCGTAGCTTCAGTGTGACATCAAAGGTCAACGTGTGGCCCTGGGTTTATAAAAAAGCTGTGGAGCCCTTGTTTTAAGGTTAGGTTGGTTTGCTGCAGTCTTGGTTTATGAACCAGAAGTAATTGAGATGAAAAGATGAAGAGTGATGTCAACACTGGAACTTGTCAACTTTCCTATCTGCCATTTTGGGCATCTTTCTCTTCCAAGTGAATGGTTTGTGTTGACTACTCTTTGGGGTTGAAAACTTTTCCCACACTTTCTCTGCAGTTCCACAATTGGGATCTTGCATCTGCACGGGGCAGTTTCAGTCATTTCTTGAGTTTTTTTCAACAAGACAATACTTGTCTCAAGCAAACATCTCTGAGTATGCTTTGAAGGGTAGTGCCAAGCACTTTACTCCTGTTCTCCTCTTATAGCCACTGCAACTACATGGTAGAGAAGCTTGTTAGGGTAATATGTATATTTATGGCAACTTGAGTGAGTTTTCAGAAAAGGCAAAGAAGCGTAGTTGGTCTATAAGAACATAAAACTAGACCTGGTGGATCTGGCCAAGGACCATCTTAGTCCAGCATTTTGTTTTTCCGAATGGCCAACAAGATGCTGCTGGGTAGCCATGGGAAGATGTTTAAACATACAAAAGTGACATTTCTCAGCTCAGATGAACCTGATTTCTGTTGCCCTTCTCTTGCTGAGATTCATCAGGTTGATACGCCTTAAAAAAGAAAAGAAAAACAGGATGGTGAATGACTGCAATACTCCAGTGGGTTTTCATTAAGAGTTAGCATTAAATCTCTGAAGGACTTGTTTTTATTGGATGGCCGTCATCTAAAACTGGTAACTCTTTTTTATAGATCTCCCCCCTCCCCCTCCGCCTTTGTAATCCCTGGTTTTATGTTTAACATGTATTGATTTTATTCTAGAAAATGATGGAAGAGCTAGCCTTACAACTCTTTGATGGGCCCATGCACCAGATCCAGTGCTCTAAATTGTTTCCTGGATGTTATTTACATTGCCAGAATCCAGTGCTATGTATTGTACTCTGCTCTCGGAAGCTCTTAGTCGGTGGGAAGCAAGCCTGCAGAACAGTGGTTCAAAGTCCCAAAATGATCTTGGTGAAACTGAAGGTTTTTGTTTTTGTAAAAGCCAGCATAGATAAATTTTCCTTTTCCACTGGAGAGCTAAGTGTTCCCAAGATATGACTGAGCATCCATCATGTCCTGCATTTGTGTTTCTCTAGCTTCTGACAACCCAAAGCTGGTGTCCTCATTAGCTTTAAAAGTGGACTAAAAAGATGCATGGAAAATCGGATTATCAGGGGCTGCTAGATTTGACTGTCAGGTCTACTCCCAGACTCTAAAGTGGGATACTTTGAATACCACTCCTTTGGGTGAAAATTTCAAAATAATTTTATAATTCAAACTACAATAAAAAGAAAATACAAATCAGCGTTAAGGGTCAAGACAACCCCAAAGTTAATGAGCATAGCAATTAAAAAAACAAACGGGGAGAGGCCTAGAAAACACGTTGCCAAGGAAAATCTAGAAGGATACACAGAACTCCTTTCCTTGCTACATTCTATGCATACCCTTAGTGTTTTCTCTGGCCTCCAAACTCATTGACTACTCAGGAACATTTTGGCCCGGATTCTGGAAACCCTTCCTTAGGCAACAAAGGATATTGCTGGGTGCACTGTCCTTCTAGCTGAGAAGCCCAGGTGCTCCAGTGGTTAGGATCTTGCTAAACTTGGAGAAAATCAGGTTCGTCCTTGCTCGACTCCAAAGGACCTTGGGCCAGTTATTTGCCCTCAGCCTGGCCTATCCTGCTGTGAGTTTGTTGGGATCAAATGGGAGAAGAGAAAACTATGCTGCCTTGAGTTGTGGGTAGGAAGCAGGATAGAAGTCTGAGAAATCAGCGATTTGATATAAGTAGGATAAGGCCCCTCAATGTAATTGATGTGGGGGGTTCTGCGCCCCCTTTTTGCTGCAAGACGGCTCCTGTTGGCAAGACACAGCAGATATCTCTGCAATCTGCCTGTAGCTGCCCACAGAACGATGTCATCCCCACCCCACGGACCCCTTGTACCCAGCCTCCGTTCTGCTCCCAACAAGAGGTGTGTGTGTGTGTGTGTGTGTGTTTAAAAAGGTAAATGCAAATGTTTTGCGCCTGCGATCCATTTGGTTTATGCACATCAGCAATTCAGGCAGATTCTCTCCCCATCCTCGTCATCTTCCCCGAGAAAAGATTAATGATGATAAAGCAGCGAAGGCCCAATTTTTACTTCAGCCTCCCAACATTAGAATGATATAAATAAGACTCATAAATCCACCGTTCCCTGTTACTGTATTCCCCAGGCATCCCAGACAGATCACAGGAAGGATTCGTAGGACTTGTAAGAGAAGAATGCTTAGCAAGGGGAGACCACAGTCAGTTGGTGTAAAATAAACTCACATGCCTTCTTTCTATGGAGGACAGAGAAGGAATTGCGTCTGACCCTTACTAAGTGCTTCTCCTTGTTTTTTGTTTTATTTTGCCTCTGTTTGTCCTGCCCCATTACCCAAGTTTAGATTCTAGCTCCATGGGGGATAGGAAAGTGGCCATGATTGTTTGGGTTGGGGGTAAACTTGCTTTAAAGTGACATGCATAAGGAGACTCTAATCATGGCATTTGAGCAAAGGAGCGGTGAATTTTCTGTAAAGCCTGGTGCAAGGTCAGATTGGGTGAAAACAGCCATAAGTTGCAAAAACCTTGCAGATTCATTGGGG